ACCCCTTGCGGCCCTTCAAGAGCGCGGGCCGAGGGGGCGGCTGCAAGGCCAGCGGGGGCCAGAAACCCGCAGGGGCCTCATGGCGCGCAGAGGGCTTTGGGGCCGGCAGATGGACGCGCCGGCCCCCCTGGCGAGGAGGCCCCACTACGCTCCGGTCGCGGGCTCGCAGGTACCGAGAACTGCACCGCGCGACCTCTTTCCTTTTCCGAAGCTCGATGAGGCCCTGGCCGTTCGCGAGGGCTTGTCGCGCCCCGTTCAGCAAAGGCTGAAGTAGCGTCGCGCCAAGGGCCACCAGCATGCAGACGCCATGAACGACTCCCTCAACTGGCTCTACGGGGGGGGGCGGTCTGGCCAGGCCTGGCGTTTCCACCAGCGCTGCGCAGCGTGAAGCCCGGCGCGTTCTGCTTCTACACGCGGGTGCTGATGATGGTCGTCCCGCTGCCGACTCGCGAGAAGCCGCCCGCGTGCTTCTCCGTTCTGACCTCGGCTACGAGGGTGGCGAGGTGCCTGGCGTTGTTTCGCCTTGCGTGCACGAGCTGATGGGGATCCCAGAGTCGACGGAATGGCCCCCGATCGCGGAGCAGCTGCTGGATCCCGAGGGCGCCGCTTGCCTCGGGGAGTTCGGCGCGACCATGATGCTCGACGATGACGAGTTCGGCAGCGCGTGCGAGGCCAACGCTCCCAGGAAGCCGCGCATGGACACGGTTCTCGAGCGCCCCCCCACCAAGCACGCCACCTTCCTCCGCTCGCTGGCCGCAAGCGGGATGCTGACATGGACTATGTCGCCCAGGGACCGCATGTCTCCGTTCTTTGTCAAGAAGAAGGCAGCGCCCTCAGGATCGATTGGGATTGAAGTGGGATGAACACTCGTTTCAGGGTTCCTCCTGCCATGGGATTGGCCAGCGGATCACGGTGGGCCGACGTTTCGGCTCCTGCAGATGCTGAGCTGCACGCGGCACAAGCGGACACTTCGAACTTCTTCTACTTCCAGGGGGCCCCCCACGCCCTTGGTCGCGGACTTCGCAGAGCTGCCGGGCTGCAGTAGGCTGCCGCCCCCTGGCTCGGTGATCTCGCCTTGCCTGAAGGTCGCGCCGATGGGCTGGAATTTGGCGACGTGGATCGCGCGGCGGGCGGTCTACCAGCAGATTCTGGAGTCCAAGGCCATCGAGCCCGAGAGGGTGATCACTGATGACATCCCCGAGCTGGTGCCAGGCTGGGCGCCACTGCTGCCCTACGCCGGTAACACCAACGCGTTAGCCTTGGATCCGAGCACCGCGGGTGGCAGCTGTTGGCGGCCTCGGGCCGCCGGCTTCAGGGCCTCCCGCGGGCCAGCGGGCGCGAGTTGGAGCGGCTCGTGGGTCGCTGCATCCATTTCTTTCTTTTGAGAAGAGAGTTCTTGTCCATGTTCCCTTTCGTCTGTTCCTTCATCCGTGCCCATCAACCGTGGCGGGGTCCGTTGTGGAATAGCGCAGCTCAGGAGATCCGAACTGTCAGCATCCTGCTTCCGTTCTGCTTCGCAAGACTCAACAGACCATGGACTCCGAACGTTACCAGTTCAGATGCCTGCCCCAGTTGGTACGCGGTGCGCTCCAGGAACCGATCGACCCAGGACGTACCCAGGTGGGTAGAGTCAAGGAGAAGTCTCGATACCGTGCCAGAGCCCCCGCAGCACAGGCTCGCAAGAGGGCCCTCGAGGACCCCGACGCGTTCAATGACGTTGCCACCGCGCCCCCCCCCCCAAAAAAAAAAAAGGTCGACAAGGAGAAGGAGGGAATCAAGATGATAGAGGAGAACCCAGAGTTCCAGGAGGCCCCCAGAAGGTGGCTTGACCCCAAACGATGCCACTTTGACTACGCCGTGAAATTCGTCAAGAAGGAAAACATCATGATTTTGGAGGGGAGGGAAACGGCACCAGCTCGACGACATAAACTTCGTTCCATTTTCAAAATACTGCTTTACGACATGTGCATATTGGGGATGCTGTGTCGCTCGCCTTGGCTTGTGAGAAGGGGCGTTCGGTTTCCTTCGGTGTATTTCTATGTGTTCGTAAGTTACTTGCATTATGCATCGCGGGAAATGTTGCGCTGTCGCACCGTCGGCATCCGATTGAGCTGAATGCGGCGGATGAGGGCTCCCGGCTCTGGGAAGGCATCGAGGCGTCGCTGGCCTCCTCGCCTTGCGCGCGTTTCGTCCAGGGCTCCGCCCCAGTCGACGCGCTCGGGCCCGCTCTCGGGCGAGCTCGTGCAGGCGTTGAAAGACATGGCCATGCGTTTCGGCCTTCTGCCTCCCAACTTCCTCACCATGACCACGGTGATGGCCGTGACCTGGAAAAGGTACCCCGAAGCTCTGTGGCGCCTGCTCCAGCACCTGACGGGCGCCGGGAAGTCCTCCAACTCGCCGGCCGAAGTGGGCGCGGGCATGGCGGGCATGGTCGAGGCCAGTTTCTCCGACGGAACCGCGCGCGGCGAGGCGCAGATGACCTGCGCCTCTTTCTTGGCCCTCTGCCCGCAGCAGATGAAAGGGGGACCTGGCGCTGCCTCGCGCGGCGCGGGCGATCAGAGCATGGCGTCGCTTCAGCCCCGCGACCGCGCGGGCCCCTGCGCCCTGGATGGTGGCGGCGGCGAGCGCACGCGTGATGACCGAAAAGGGCATGCCGACCGAAGCGTCGACGATGCTCTCGGCACGCCTCCGCCTCCTGCGGGGCGCGCAACCTTCGCGCCAAGGAGGAGGGATCGTCGTGCCCTCCACTGTCCTGGGCGCTGGCGCTGAACCTGCGCCCAGAGGTGCGCGGGGGCATGTCTCCATCTCGCGGGACCACCCGCGGCCGCGGCTTCCTCGGTCTGGAGATCGCCAGGCTGGCGCTCGCCAGAAAGTCTGGCCGCCGCGGCACGTTCAGCACCCAGCACTTCAATGCGGGGTCTCAAGCTAGCGCGGCACGAGCTCAACCTGCCCGTGATCCACGTGCCCCACCAGCTACGACACGGAGGACCCTCGGCAGACAGGCAGGACAACATCCGCCCCTTCACCGAGGTGAAGCACAGAGGCAGGAGTGCCAGCGATTCGTCTCTTCGTCGGTACGAGGCAGCCGCGCGCCTGGAGGCTCGACCGTCCAGCCCCCTCAAAGGCTTCTGCCGGTCCGCCATGGCCTCGCTGCCGACCAACCGCGCAGCATCCTTGAGCCTGTGCCTGGAGCACCTCGGAAGTGGAAACGGAGATCTTCTCGGGCTCTAAGGACCTCTCGGCTACTGCGGCCCAGGGTGGTTACAGATGTTTCGCCGTCGACAAATGTGACTCGCCCAATCAGAACGCCCTACGGATCAAAGTGCTCAGGAGTCGCCAGCGATTCGTCTCTTCGTCGGTACGAGGCAGCCGCGCGCCTGGAGGCTCGACCGTCCAGCCCCCTCAAAGGCTTCTGCCGGTCCGCCATGGCCTCGCTGCCGACCAACCGCGCAGCATCCTTGAGCCTGTGCCTGGAGCACCTCGGAAGTGGAAACGGAGATCTTCTCGGGCTCTAAGGACCTCTCGGCTACTGCGGCCCAGGGTGGTTACAGATGTTTCGCCGTCGACAAATGTGACTCGCCCAATCAGAACGCCCTACGGATCAAAGTGCTCGAAGCAATCAAAGCACCCGTCGCTCATCCCGATTGCAAGCTCGTCTGGATTGGGACCCAGTGTGCGTCTTGCTCGAGAGCAGGACGGGGGGGGGGTGCGGTCTGCCACCCCCCCCCCCCCCATCAGGGGCTCTAGCGATGGCCTGCGCGGACTTAATGGGCTCAGCTGCTCGGATGTTCAAAAGGCCAAGGTCGGTTACCAACTGATGAGAATATCCGCTAGACTCGCTCGTTGGGCTGCCGCTTTCGGTCGTCAGTGCATCATAGAGAATCGAGCAACCGGCTGACTTCTGAGTTCAAGCGGCTGGAGGTCATAGGTGTTGTAAAATACACATTTAGTTGTGGGTACGGTACCTCCGGGGAGAAAACACGTGTCTTTTTGCCTGCGCGGCCCATGGGTTAGTTGAGGTCCGCAAGTGTCGTATGACAGCTGGACGGTGCGGCTTTTCAGGTAAGCTGCACGAACAGCGTGTGGGCAACAATCCGCAGGGCGAATTTCCCACGAGGATCGCGCAACCGTATTCCCCGCTCTTCTGCTCGCGTGTTTGCCAGATGTTGGGTACACCCGCCTAGCATATTATATCGTCCGTGCTTCTCACGTCCAGCACTAATTGGTGGGGGGGTGCATTTACCCTTGGCACTGTGCTCGCTGCTGCACGCTCGTGGCCTCGCGAATCGCTCCCGTGCCTGCGCTAACGGATATCAGATTGTGGGGCTCGTGGCCTCACCTCGGCTGGCGTTCGTAAAATAGACGGGCCCATACAGACATTCTCCGTGCTTGCACGTGGTTGTCGGTCGCCGTCGTTCTGACGCGTTCTGTTGCTTTGTAGTTCCGCGGTGATATCCAAATCGCCCCTTTCCACCCTCCGTGATCTCAGACACAGTCTGGGGTATTTAACCTTGGCGTTGTGCTCGCTGCTGCACGCTCGTGGCCTCGCGAATCGCTCCCGCGCCAGTGCTAACGGATATCAGATTGTGGGGTTCGTGGCCTCGCCTCGGCTGGCGTTCGTGAAATAGACGGACCCATACTGATATACCTACGAGTACTACATCGCAAATGTAATACCCTAGGGTAACAGTTAGAAGTTCTTTATGTTTTATAAAGGATGGACAACCTATCCCGGGAGAGGGAGCCAGACCTCTGGGGGTCGACTTCGTGCGCAAATCACAGCGTCGGGGGTCGGGTCTGGCATCGCCAAGCAAAAGCGAGAGGGGCGAATCGAAGAACAGGCGCAAATGAGGCGAAGATGAGTCGGCATACAAACAACGACAACGGGGAAGGAAGGCCGGAGGCGGGAAGGAATTCGAAACACGTGCGCAGCACAGGGTGCCTGGGCACAGGCTGCAGTTTCTGCCGCGGTCGCCCGCCGTTCCCCTGCGCGCCCGCAG